CCCCAAAACCCCAAAACCCCAAAACCCCTTATACTTATTAATTGGCTGAAATATGTCTCAAAATTAAATTTACAGATAGAGTGAAGATGCAAATACTATTCCTTTCTTGAGCTTGTCACTTGCTGCTTCTAACTTTTCATATAATTCAGGGTTAGCTAATTCCATCTTTGATACTAAGGTAAGTTGTTTTAGTAGTTCCTCAAGTCTCCTAAAACATCTGATTATGGATCCTTCATAAGCATCAGTCATATTACATATTTCTTCAAATTTCTTTCCTTTACACCATTTGTAAGTAATATCGACAAGATCTGGTTTGAAACTATTGATGTACTCTTCTTCATCGATGTCTATTTTGCATTCTACCATCACTGCTGCAACCTTCTTGATAATTGCAGAGAGTCTTCCATAGGCTTCGGCAAGAATCGGATGCTTTGGTTCTACATGATTATTTTTGCTCTCGTCAAAAACTAAACAGCTACATATTGCAGCAATGCATTCTGGTTCAAGATTATGCAAATTTCCGTTAACTAGAAGTTCTGTGAGAATAATTTCATCTGAAGCACTGATCTCGCTTGCAACATTTCCTTTGACCTTAAGGACTTCGTCTTCTCTGATATAGTCTAGTCTTCTCAGGACTCTTCTCATCTTAGTCAAGTCTTCCACATTAACCATCGCTCCTATATTAAGAGCCTTCTTGCTTAGCTCGTTGTACTCTTTCTTCAGCTGCTCTTTTCTAAGAAATTTTTGTATTTCTTCCTCATTTACTGATTCCATCTGATTCAAACTGTCTTCAAGAACTTCAATCTTATCAAGATATTCAGAGAACTTAGGATCATCTATCATCATCTCTTTGATTGGATCCAATGAAGGAGGGCACCAATCAAATCTTTTCATCAGCTCAAAGTAGAACTTCTCCATTCTTTTAACATTGTTCCTGTCATTAAGATCGTTGACTACTTTCATTTGGACTTTGCTAAGGTCATAAACACAAGGGAGCATAACTGGAACGATCCCTAGCATGCCATTTTTCTTCTTTAAGTCTCCTGGGCGGATTTCATTCCCTTCCATTCTCTTCTGGACGTATATCAAGACATCTATGATAAGAACGGGCTTGTTTTCATCAATATCGACTATTCCTTCTTTCTTCATAGACCCAGAGCCGTCAGGTTTAAGGATGGATTTCACACTGATTCTTCTCCTAGTGAAATTTACGACTATCCCCCATCCCCAGTCAATGTTGTTCTTCGTATCTTTAAGGTGGATAAGCCTCCCAGGCACTAAGAAAGCAATGACATGTTCTTCTTTCTGATAGATTTCTCTGCTAGCATCCATAAAGCTGGCAATTTGTTTCTTAATGTCAAAATACTCTTGGATTTCTTCATGCTTCTTAATTTTAATGCCTTTGATTTCTTTCTCTAGTTCTGATAGTCTTTCCTTCGCCTGAGGAGTTCCTTTGTCATTCTGAAATTGCTTAAAGGACCTCTTGATCAGAAACTCAGGCTTGTAATCCTGTAACTTCATTAAGTTTAATAGCATGTTGTACTTTAGGTGGAATGAAGAGTATAAAGGATTCGCTTTCCCTTTTAGAATACTCTTGGCAACATGAGGCTCCATTTTATTTGTTGGCCATTAAGATACAGACACCCTTGCTGTCAAGTCCTCTTCTTCCTGCTCTTCCTGACATCTGGATGTATTCTCCTCCACTAAGCCATCTGTATTGTTCTCCATCATATTTCTCAATGCTTGTGAAGACAACTGTTCTGGCAGGCATATTGATTCCCATTGAAAATGTTTCTGTGGTAAACAAGACCTTTATTAATCCTTCTTGAAACAGGATCTCAACAATTTCTTTGGCAAGGGGCAGAAGTCCTCCGTGGTGTACTCCGATTCCTTTGGCCAAGAGAGGGAGGAGCCCTTTTATTTGAGGCAAATCTTGGTCTTCTTCTGCCAAAGACTCTACTGCAGCATTAAAAATTTTCTCAATATTTTCTTTTTCTTCTTTAGTAGTATATTCTCATTTTGACACAATTCTCGAGTGGTTTTCACAATCAACTTTACTGAATGCGAAGACTATACATGGCTCATAATTTCTTGAAACGATGAAATTTAGAACAGACCTTAGCTCTTGTTGCTCAGTTGTTCGTTTGATCTTCTTGCCTTTGGCTTCAAACATTTTCTCGAGGTCATTGTCTGCATCCATTTTTGAGACCGCATTTTGAAAACTTTCTTCTCTGAAAACTCCTTCTCTATCAACTACAAGATGTAAATTACTACCCCCAGAAGGATGAATGTAATGCTCAAGCGGGACTGGTCTAAAATCAGTGTAGACCACATTACATGGCTGCTTCTTTATAGTGCAGATCCATTCTGCAAACTCTCTAGCGTTTGGAATAGTGGCTGAGAGGAATACATATTTCACTGTAGAAGGAAGGAGAATAATAGTCTCTTCCCAGACAACGCCTCTTTCTCTATCTCTCATGTAATGAACCTCATCAAAAATGACCCATGTCATTTCTTTAGTGATTTCTGATCCTCTGTAGAGCATGCTTCTTAAGATTTCAGTTGTCATGACAATGCAGCCAGCACTCTCATTTTGAGTGGCATCACCAGTCATTAAACCCACATCTTCAAATTCTTCTTGGAGATCTCTAAACTTCTGGTTAGATAATGCCTTAATCGGAGAGGTATAGATCACTCTTTGATTGTTCTTTAATGCTGAAGCAATCGCATATTCAGCAATAGCTGTCTTTCCTGCTGATGTATGTGCTGCAACCAACACTGATTCTTGTCTTTCAATACTTTTGACTGCTTCTTCCTGGAAGTTATCCAGAGTGAATTTATACTCCTTTGATCTAGGCTTGTCAGGATCAATTTCTCTATTTTTAAACCCCTTTGGGCAAATCTGTTCGTGAATACAGTTGTCATATACCTTTGATATGACATCTAGTTCATCTGGGTTATATCCGCTACAAGGTTTTAAATCATATTGAACTTCAACCTCACTATTTTCTTCACTATCCATTTCTGCATCCTTGCTATCTTCTGAAGGAGGCTTTTCAGTATCATTTTTATCATCTTGGGATCCATCATGAGAAATAGACATTTTATCTCAGCCTTCAGACTCAGAATTAGGACCTGCTCCTGCAGTTTCAATAGTTTTCTCCTTCTCAGGAAGTTCCTGGTCGGGTTTTCATGGTTTTTCAGCTCAGAAATTATCAAAAGCACTAATATCCATAATATTTCAATTGTAGACTTAATTTTGGGGTTTTGGGGTTTTGGGGTTTTGGGG